GGAGAGAAACGCTGCACACCTCCTGCCTGGCGCTCAGGGCAGGCTTGAGCCAACATGGCTAGCGTGTTTTTTTTTTGTGTTTGTGTGTGTGTGTGTGCGTGCGTGCGTGCGTGCGTGCGTGCGTGCGTGCGTGCGTGCGTGCGTGCGTGCGTGCGTGCGTGCGTGCGTGCGTGTGTGTGTGTGTGTGTGCGTGTGCGTGTGTGTGTGTGTGTGTGTTTGTGTGTGTGTGTGCGGGTGTGCGGGTGTGCGTGTGCGTATGCGTGTGCGTGTTTGTGCGCTTGTGTGTGTATGTGTGTGTGTGCGGCGGTGATATTATGATGGCGAACTACTCCCCTCCTCCTTCCTCCTTCACCTCCCCCTCCCGCAGGCTTCCCAGCTCAGTCTCCCCTCCTAGCTTCTTCCTCCCACTCCCCGCTTGTTGCTGCATCTGCTTATGCTCCTGCTACTGCTGCTCTTGCTGCTGGTACTCATCGTCCCCTCCCCCCATGGCTCGACGGCAAGGCGGTCGCTGGCATGGAACAACGAGTCTTGACGAAAAGGCTCCTGTCGGTGGTTCAAAGATGGGGTCCTGAGGGATGGGGTTCTAAGGACGAGGTTCCTTAAACAACGCAAGTTCACCCCTGGATCCCTTCCCATCCTCAGGACCCCATCCCTCAGGACCCCATCTTTGAACCGCCGATCCGGGACCTCAAGGCCTCTCCCAGTACCGTGTGAGCGACGATCAAAAACGGATCTAACGCGAGACGACACAGCGGCCTCACGCCGCAGCTCCCGCAGGCCGCCGGCGCGGCACGCTACATTGGAGACCTGGGCGTCCACGCGCTACCTGACGCGGGGAGCTTACGCGCGCATGCCGGCGCAGTCGAGCCCGTCCTTCGGCCGTGGATAAACCTCTCTTTAGTAAACCACCCTTTAATGAAAACGACCTGGGAACGAAACCGACAGACCTGGACCCGCAAAAATATGAGGGCCGCGACGCCCTCCCGCGAACCGAAAACGGCCAATTTGCTAATCGGCGTGTCAGGGCAGGAGGTCCATCCACCCCCGAGTTCTTGGGACGTCGCTCACGTCGTCGTCCCGAGCTGCTTCTGACGATCCCGGGGGGACAAGGGAGGGCCCGGGAGGAGGAGGAGGAGGAGGAGGAGGAGGAGGAGGAGGAGGAGGAGGAGGAGGAGGAGGAGGAGGACCCGCCTCCCTCCGGATCTGCCCGCTGCAGGACGCCAGGAGGGCGCCGCGGCCTCCGCGGCCCGGGGCACGCTCGAGCGCAGCGCGCGCAGCGCCAGAAGCAGCCACGACGCCGGACACCCGACGCTGCTGGGCGCTCGGCCAAGGACCCTTCGTTGTACCCCTCGCTCCTAGGCCGTCTTCGGCGGTCTTCGGACGGTTCTTGGAGGCCTTCGGCGGTCTTCGGCGGTCTTCTGACGGTCTTCGGCGCTTCCTGGCGGTCTGCAGCGGTCATCGGTGCGAGAGCTGGACGCTTGTGTTCAACACGGGGTCCATGATCGAATGCCTGAACGTTTGAATTTGTCATTCCGCGCCACAGGAAGGTCCCGACCCCTTCTCGGCGGGCTATTTTTCGCCCCAGAGGCGCTTTGATGGTCCCCGGGCTTGGTACCGGGCCCCAGCTGACGGAAGCGAGGAACATCGCCAGAGTGAAACACACACATCGCTGGATACCTGCTGAGACCCTGATGAAGGGAAGGGAAGCGTGACTATGACCAAAACGGTGCGCAGAACCGTCCGTGCCGATCTTGATCACACGTCCACCTAGGTCATCCTCGATTCGTGGATCATCCTCGCAACTCGGCGACGGCCAACATTGAGCAGGGACCGACCGTCCCGGCATTCCTAGAAATATTCTAGAACCCCAACATGTTCTAATAACAAAAACAATGTTCTTAGAACATAAGCCTGATGTGTAAAAAGAAATCAATATCAACCAGAAACGTTCGAATCACATTTCGGGGAATGCACAAACGGTTCTTCGAACATTGTTTGGTAGAGTTGTAAAAGAGCCAGGACGTTTTGCCAGTGTTTGAAACTGGGCCATCCTCGCTTCGTGGATCATACTCGCAACTCGGCGACGGCCAGCATGGACCACGACCAAAATCGGCGTCGACCAAGGCTGAACCTAAAAGGTGTTGTTCGTTTTCGTTTTGTTTTCGTGTTCTCATGTTGTTGTCCCCAATCCAACCTTGCTGCAAAACGAAATCGAAACGAAAACGGCCCACGAGATCGCCAAAACCCCGTTCACGTCCACTCCTACTGTCGACAAACCCCCGCGACAGCCTGGCCGTGGCCAGCGTGCTTCTTCACTCGAGCGCCGGAAACCCGGGGCTCGGAGGAACCCTCAGGGGGGCCGCGCGTGCGGCGGCGGCGCGCGCGCTGGGCCGAGGCGCGGGGCGCCGTCCCGACGATGCCGCGGTTCTGGTCCGGCGGCTGCGCGTGGCAGCACAGCCTGCCGGAGTCAGGTCGAGCGTGTCCCCCGACAGGGGGATTTTCGACGACAAATAAAACTTAGCCTGGCGTAAGACCCAACCGCGCTTGTGAATCAATTTTTCGATGGCGCTCCCCTATGGGGACACGAACCGTATGAGGGGCGCGCCGAACTGCGTGGCGGGGTACACGACACCAACGAAGACGATAGGTCGAATTACGGGAGATTGAGCGCGGGTGGATTTGAGCGCGAGGAAGTCTGAGTGTGAATAGGTCTGCGCGCGAGTGACTATATTTGCATGAGTGCGAGCGTGGCCTTGCCTGGTGAATAAATATTAAATATAATATACATATGTATATATGTGCGTTTATGAATATACGAATGTGAACGGTTCACGCATGCCTGACCCTGAGTAGTCGTGACACTGAGCGTGGCCGCCGCAGGAAGCTCCCCCTGGAACCCCGACAGCAGCGCCCGCGCGCCGCGACGCCCATGTCGGCGCGCTCCTCACGAGGATCGCGCCCGCGTCCTTCCCGTTCTCTTCCTCCCTCTGTGCCCGCGCGCGCCCACGTCGAAGGCTGCGGGCGCGGCGCAGCGCGGGGCCTCCGCGACGCGCGTTGGTCGCCCCGAAGGAGTCCCGGCGACGCGCGCGGGTCGCCCGCTGCGCGGATCAGAGAGAGCTAGCTGGCTGGTTGATAGCGGGCAAGAGAGCGACGACGGCGCCGCGGCGCGCGCTGGTCGCCTCGAGAGGGCCCCGGCGACGCGTGCGGGTCGCCCGCGGCGCGAGGCCAAACAGTCAGACCGTCGAGAGACGGCGAGGCCCGGGCAGGCCGCTCCTCAGGTCAAGCCTCGCGGATAAACCCGGTGAGGCTCAGCTCCCTGGCGAGGGCCGCCGCCTCCCACCTGCGCCGCTTCGCGCGCGCGGCAAACTGCTCCAGCTGTTTCCGCAGGCCCTCTGGCGGCCCTGCCGGGCAGAACTCGATGCGCGGCGCCCGCATGAGCAGGAGGTCCTCGCGGCGCGTGGCGCGCGAGAGCAGCGCGGAAAGCTCCAGCCACCAGTCACCCCCCTCCTTCTTGCCATTCCCCACCTCGCGGCGGCCGCAATCCAAGATCACGCTTGGGCGACGTCGGCCGAGGGGGCAGCGCGCCGGACAGCCGACGGCTCAGGGCGAGCGTCCACGGGGCCGAGAGAAGGTCTGGCTGCGGACCGCTCAGATCCAAAAGCTTTGGCCGTGGACTGCCTGGGGAGCGCCGTTCCCTCGCCCCGTCGCCTTCGCGCGCGGTGCGCCCCTGGCGCGCCGCCGCGGCGATGGCCCTGCCGCGCGAGACGGGAAGCCCGTTCGGGCGACGCGGAGCGTGAACGGCTCCGACGTGTGAGGCTCGATGAACGCCAGCGGGCCCGCGAGGTCCCCCGTGGGGCTATCGTCGCGGCGCTTGAGGTCGCGCGCGAAGGGAGCGCTCGCGCGCTTTTCCATGTGCGCCCAGAACCCCAGCGGCAAGTGCTTCAGATAGATCCTCTTCTCCCCGTCTCACTCGGCTTTCTTGACGTCGCCCCGACCCCGAGGGCCCGCGACGATGTGCACGATCTGCCCCTCGGCATCTTTTACGAGGCCGCTCTCGAGGTCCAGCGCCTCCAGGAGCCGGATCCGCATGCCCGCGCGCACCGGGGGCAGTCTGTGCATGCCACCGGTGTTATTTGGGTTGGCACAATTCATCATCTTGGCGGCGTCCTCTCTGCTCATCGTCGGGCCAGACCTGTCGGCGGCCTGCGCGAGGAAGAGGGACTTCTTCAGGGCGTCCGCGTCCTGCTGGGCACGCATGTTCATCCAGCGCGCAACGGTGTCCCAGTAGGACCCAATCATGCGGCCGTTCTGGAACCTTTCCTCCCGGAATCTACGATCATCGGGTTTGAGCTGCATGGCGTTCCACGTGGCCCGGATGGCGGGCGGTGCCTGCTTCCCCGGCTTGCGCAGGAACGCCATGAGGTCTCTGAGTTTCGGGTCCTTGAAGGGGTTGGACGCCTGGAGCTCGAAGAACAGCGGCGTGTTGCAGAAGAGCTTCATCACGGCCTGGCACTCTGGAGCGAGGTTGATGACCACCGCCGCCAGTGCTTCGAAGCTGGAGATGAGGGACACTGTGCCTCCCGTCGGCTCCAGCTGCAGGAAATTTCCCAGGTGGGTCACGATTGGCATCCGGCCGAAGGCGCCGCCGACCTGGTCGTACTCCCGCTCCTCCGCGCCCTACTCGGCCTTGCGTCCCAAGTAGGACCAGAGACCAGAATGCCAGCGTGTTGTACAGGTTGGGCGAGATCATGCTCACCTCTTCTGCGAACGTGTGAGGGGTGTGCCAAAATGAAGCGGCGGCGCCATGCGAACTGCGCCGCTGGGATCTTAAGTGGCGCTCCCTATGGGACCACGGAACGTGCGAGGGGTGTGCCAAAATGAAGCGGCGGCGCCATGCGAACTGCGCCGCTGGGGTCTTGGGTGGAGCTCCCTGTGGGGCCACGAAACGTGTGAGGGGTGTGCCAGAATGGGGCGGCGGCGCCATGCGAACTGCGCCACTG